TAAATTGTAATTTATCTTGACTGCTCAGTTATTTTGTGATCCCCTCCCCAAATTTAGTGCTCTGTGAATTCTTTGTAGCACTCTAGTCTTAGCATATTAGGGAGCCTAGTAGATATAAGTGACATAAAGTAGATATAAGTGACTATTTCGTGTATTGAATTGTGCCCCCTGTATTCATCAGCTTTCTGTTACTGTAACAAATATTTTTGAAACAAATAAACTTAAAAAGAGGAAAGGTTTATTTGGGCTCATAGTTTCAGAGGTTTTTTTCCATGGTCACTTGGCCTTGATGCTTCGGGCCTATGGAAGCAATAGTACATGATGGCAGAAGTTTGAAATTGAGGAGACCTGTTCACCTTATGGAAGCCAGGAAGCAAAGAGAATGCAGGCAGGTCTGGGATCCCAACAACCCCTTCAAGAGCACGCCACCCAATGACTAAACTTCCTTCTAGTAGGCCCTACCTCTTAGAAGTTCTACCACCTCCCATAGTACCACAGGCCATGACCAAGTGTTTAACATGGGCCTTTGGAGGACATTCAAAATCCAAACTACAGCAGCCCCCTGAAAGATATTGAGGTTCTGATATCCAGTATCACCCCCACAGGGTGACCTTAATTGTAAATAAAGTTCTTACAAATGTAAGTAGTTAAGATGAGGTTATACTGAAGTCAAGTGGGCCCCAATCATATATGACTAGTGTCCTTATAAGAAGGACAGTGGAGCACAGACACATGAACGGGGAGGACCATGAGAATCTGAAGGCAGAGATCAGGGTTGTACATCTACCACAATGACTTCTTCTAGAAGCTAGAAGAGAGGCATCAAACAGATTCTCCTTCACAGCCCTCAGAAGAAACCAGTCATGCTATACCTTGTTCTTGGACTTGGAGACATCATGATTGGGAAATGGTAAATTTCTATTGTTTGAGTCACCTAATTTGTGCTACCTTGTTATGGCAGCCCTAGCAAACTAATACACCATCCTTGGTCTTAGGTACAGAGGGACTGTCTCTCATTATCAGTCATAAGTGTAGCCAGAGAAGATCAGATCAGCTCTCAGCCCAGAGATGAAATTCCATTAATGTTGATTCACATGCAGATAAGCTCATCACAGGTTGAACATATTCTAGGTCAAAAAGGCATTGAACACACTTATCTTACTGAACATCTCTGCTCGGCAACACAGTACACTGTGGAGAATCAGTTGATTTCCGTGTGATCCTGGGGCTCATTGGGAGCTGCAGCTCACTGACACTGCTCAGGATTGTAAAAAGAATATCATATCACATACTGCTAGCCTGAGAAAGGATCAAAATTCAAACTTGGAGGTGCAGCTTTCACTGAATGTGCATTACTTTTGTACCATTGTAAAGCTGAAAAATCCTAAGTCTGGGACCATCTCTACATCAAGGCAAATCCAAAGACTAAGGTGATAGGGACCAGAAGTAAAAGCCAGCTACCTTGGATGGAAGTGAGGCAGAGTGAGACTCAAGCCCATGATCACTATCAGGACACAGCAACCCCATAAAAATGCCACAGCTAAGTAGGTCAGAGGGGAAGAGCACCTTAGGACAGGTGAGTGGTCACAGCAGGTGGTCACAGGGGAGTACAGGCAAGGATGGGAAAATAACACTGAACAACTGTCTCAGGACAACTGCTTCTTCCTAGGAGAGCATGTGTGCATTTGACTTTAAGCCCAGCACCTGTTAGGTGCTCAGCTGGGTACCAGTTGCTTTTATTAACAACAACAACAACAAAAAAAAAGAGTGTCTTGAAATTAGGGGTTAAAAGTGAATGGTGGCCAGGCTGGGGGATATCAGAATACAAGGAAAAGCAGAGATGTGAACAATACAACTTCCTTAACCTCATCTTAAAATTCATTTTTATGAAGAATTTTCATTTGATGTATTTTTTTTCAGTGTTGGGGTTATTGTGTTTGATATTTAAAAGAAAAAAAGCAGGAAGGAAAGGAGAGAGGAAATGAAAAGGGAGGGGAGAGGGAAAATGTACGATCCCCAGCATCTTATGCCAGACTTGGTCTACAGAGGAGCAAACTCCTGTCCACATCTTAGACTCTGTCCCTACCCTGTGACTTGATCCCGAGGAGGAGAGGGGTCTCCTTTTGAGAGCTTGATATTCAAGGGTCCAGGTTGCTGAGTTAAAGATGGGTTCCCTGGCAAAGCATGGCTTTTATCTTTACTTGGGCTTTCCAGATTGCAGCAGTTGATAGGATCAGAGGAACAGGATTGGTTATAACCTCAGGGAAGGAGGTCTGACATCTCCACTCCCGAGTCAAGGGGAGTCCTGCCAGCCCAAACTACTGACCTGGCCATGAGCTAAGGGGCCTGAACTCGTCAGCACTGATCACAGCCACTATGCAACAATGAAATTAGGCAGCACATGTTAAAGTTAATCCATTAGAGTCACTTATTTTACTTGCAAAGAAATCTTTTTCTCATCGTGTTATGGTTCCTCATTAATTGCTTGAAACTTGCCTTCAGTTCCAAATTTTAGCTTTACAACATGCATTGGTGTCTCCCTGTCTTGCTTCTTGGCTAGGTCACTAGCGTTTGTAAGTATCTTTGCTTCAAATTGCAGTCTCAGTTCCTCGCTCTTGTTTATTTTGGAGAGAAGAGCCAGAGATAAATAGGCAGAAATTCGGGGAGCAGTAAATGAAGGCCAAACTTTGACTCCAGCTAACACAGGGTCTGGAGCAGCTTCTACAGAGGTCAGTGCTGGGATAAAGGTCTTCATACACAAATAACAACACTACATTTTTCACTTGGCGTGTATGCCACCGATGCCATTCATTAGAACCTGGGCTGAGTGATGAGATAAACTAAACACTAAGTGTGATCCTCACTCACTTTTAACAGCTACCATTTAAGTGAAAATAGAAAATGTTTATGGTTTCTGAAAAATTAAAGATAGTTGTTTTGTTTGTTTTGTTTTGTTTTGCAGGAGTCCCAGGGATTAAATCCAGGGTCACTTTACCACTGAGCTATATTCCAGCCCTTTTTGTTTGTTTGTTTGTTTGTTTGTTTTATTTTGAGATAGGCTCTCATAAGTTGCTTAGGGCCTTGAGAACTAGATAAGACTGGCCTCAAAATTGTGGTCCTCCTGCCTTAGCCTCTTAAGTCACTGGGATTATATAAAACAGTGGATTTTTTTGTTGTTGTTTTTTTTAAGTAGCACTCCATAGATAAAAATCTCCTGGGGTAATTATTAAAAATGTACATTTCTGCTCTCACCCTACCATATTAATTGAACTAGGATCTCTGGAAATAAGTTAAATAAAGTAGGTTCTTATTTTTTTTCAGTGCTGAGAATCAAACACAGGGCGTTGCCCATGCAAGGCAAGTACTCTACCACTGAGATATATTCCCCACCTATCAAAACTGAATTTTAAATAAGCTCCCATGTTTTTTTTTTTTTAATGAGTCCTGAAGTTTGAGGTCTAAAACAATATGTTTAGGGCTGGGGCTGGGGCTCAGAAGCAGAATGCTCACCTGGCATGCATGAGGCACTGGGTTCGATCCTCAGCACCACTTAAAATAAAGTTATTGTGTCCACCTATAACTAAAAAATAAATATTAAAAAAATAAAATAGTATGTTTAGCACATTACAAATAGTTATCATTTCAGGTTGGATCTTGAATGTCCCTCAAAGGGCCGTGTATTGAAGACTTAGTGTCCATCCTATGTTGTTACTGGGAAGTAGTGAAACCCTCAATAGATGGGGCCTAATTGGAGGAAGTTAGGTCATTGGGAGCATGACTCTGGAGAGAATATTGGGACCAGGCTCCCTCTTGTCTGGGTCTTTGCTACCTTTCTACCATGAGATGAATAGCCTCATTCACCACACACTCCCTCCCATAATGAGCTGCCTCACTGGATCCCAAAAGCAATGAGGCCAACTGACCATGGACTGAAACCTCTGTAATCATGAGCCAAAATAAACCTTCCTTACTTATAAGCTGTTTATCTCAGGTATTTTGTCACAATGATGGAAAGCTAAGTAATATTGGTATTTTCTTGCCATGAGCACAAGAACTGCAGTAAGCCTTCTTTGACCATTCTCCCATGGGTTTCTCTTCCTCCCAACTCCATGTTTGCCTACTAAGTTAAATGATTTCTCTTGTCTCCTCCTCAAAGTTCTCCCCTAATCCAGACTCAGACCTGATATTTCAGACATTCTAGCATAGATCTGAGTATTTATGGGATTACATGGGCGAAATAATTACCTAGAGCTCCTCACAGATAGAGACTCAATACCTAAAATGTTAAATTACATTGAATAGCATTGCTATTTTAATAAATAGAATTGCTATTTACAATAGCTTTGTAAAACCAAGAGAGGGTCATCTTCCTGAAGCAAAACATATTAAATCCACAAAGGGGCAAAGGGTAGATATCCCATCATCCCGTAAATCAATGGTTTCAACTGGAGGCAATTTCATCATCCTAAGAAACACTTGGCAATGTCTGAAGGCATTTTGGGTGGCCACACTGGAGGATGCTGCTGGCACTCACTAGGCAGAGGAAAAGGACACTGCTTAACATTCTGCAGGGCCCAGAACAGTCCCCAAAACAAGGAAGTACCTGTTCTGAAATATCAAGTGCCAAGGTTGAGAAACCCAGCTATAAATCACAAGACAGTTATCAAAAAGGTCACCCAGATTTTTCTAAGATTAAATGAAAAATGGTGACATTAGGGATAAGAAATGTAGTAGATAAACTGTGAATCCAGAAGCAGAAACTAGAGATAATTGTAGGGAAAACACAAGAACAGGGTTTGTAGGTCAGTGGTAGAGTATTTGTTTATCATGCACCAGGCCCTATGTTCCATCCCCAGCACAGAAGGTACAGGGGAGGGAAGAAGAAAAGAGAGAAAAACTGAAGGGCTTGGGGGGTATGACAATTGAAATAAGAGAAAGAAAACTTATACTGAATACCAATGTTACAGACACTGTTATTTTTGAACCAGATTAATTCATCCTTTATTCCAAAGTGATATGGTTTAAGTGGGGTGTATGATTACCCAACTGCCTCAAAACATCCCAGTTACCTTTGCATCTAGATATGCTTTCCCGACCCACTTCTTACCATTGGCATGTGAGCTGAAGTGACATGTATAACTTCCATCTTAAAAGGAAACTGTATTCTCATATTCATTTTCCTTCCTCTTGGTGAGCTGGAACATGCACATGCCCATAACCCAGCCTCAGCCACAGACAAGGACAATGTCCTAGAGCAGAAGTCAGCAAATCCTTTTTTAAAGATCTGGAATACAAATATTGTAGGCTTAGTGGTCAATTTGGCTTTTACTGCAACTACTCTTTTCTGCCCACTAAATGTAGGTAGTGTAGATAATGTGTTAACAAATGGGCATGACTGTGTTCCAATAAAACCTTATTTATAAAAACAATCTGAGGGTCAATTTTTAAATTTTTATTTATTCTTATTTTTTTCTTTCCACATTTTTATTGGTGCAATATAGTTGTACATAATAATGGGATTTGTTGTTACATATTTGTACATGCACACAATATAACAATATATTTTGGCCACTAACACTCCTCAGCACTTCCCCTCTCCCTCCGCTCTTCCCATCCCCCTAGTCCCTTTCCTCTATTGATCTCCCTTTGATTTTTTTGAGATCCCCACACCCTACACACATGCACCTTTCTTTTCCTTTTTCCTCTCTAGCTTCCACATATGAGAGAAAATATATGACTCTTGACCTTCTGAGTTTGATTTATTTCACTTAACACAATAGTCTCTAGTTCCATTCATTTTCCTGCAAATGACAAAATTTCACTTTTTAATGGGTGAATAAAACTCCATTGTGTATATATATTACCTTTTCTTTATCCATTCATTCATGGATGGACACCTAAGCTGATTCCATAGTTTGACTATTGTGAATTGTGCTGCCAGAAACAAGGGTATGAATGTATCACTATAGTCTGCTGAGTTTAATTCTATAGCAGGGTGGCCAGCACCCCAACAGAGCAGGTAGGAACCTCCCCAGGAAGTGTGAGCTGCCTGGGAAAATAAAAAGTCTTAAAAAAAATCAGTAAGAAATAAAGACAGAGCCAAAAGTTAGATTTATAAAATAGAGTGCCTGATGGGTCTTCCAGTCCTGATGGGAATTAGAACTGAACAATTGAAAAAAAAGGCCCCAATTCTTTATTTAAGGGGGACAACATGAAAGGCAGGGATAAGGTTCCAGAGGGAGGAGTCTCATTCCAGTGCTTGCTTCTCTGCGTGGCAGGGATCTTACATTAAAAGCTCAATTGGCATTCTGCAAGCCACACCCATCTCCAGAAGGCTACCTGGCTCCAGGTTCACTCCCATCTCCTGGCCTACGCTAGAACTTGTGTGGTGAGCTAGGTAGGGCACCACAAGAATCAGGAGTTCTCGAACCAGTGGATTCCTGTTGGGAGTTCCTGATAGGAGGCTTCCCTGCCTAATGGCTCAAACATCACTCAGTCCATGCATGGGTCGTGGATACCTTCTCACATAATTCTTTAAGATAAATACTGAGGAGTGGTATAGTGGAATCGTATGGTGGTTCCATGCTTAGTGTGAGGAACCTCCATACTGATTTCCAAAATGGTTGTATTCATTTACTATCCCACCAATAGAATAAAAGGCTTCCTTTTTTCTCCACATCCTCTCCAGCATTTATAGTTGTTTGAATTCTTGATGGCTGCCATTCTAACTGGTGAAAGATAAAATCTCAGTGTAGTTTTGATTTTCATTTCCCTAATTGCTAATGATGTTGAACAGTTTTTCAAATATTGTTGGCCCTTTGTATTTCTTCTTTTGAAAAGTGTCTGTTTAGTTCATTTGCTCATTTATTAATTGGGTTATTTGGGGTGGGGATTGGTGTTAAACATTTTTAGTTCTCTATTCTAGGTAATAATCCTCGGTCAGAAGGGAAGCTAGCAAAGATTTTCTCCTACTCTATAAGTTCTCTCTCCACATTTGAGGGCCATTTTTTATATAACCCTACCCTAGCGGATGAGAGAGAAACAAGATAAAAAGATCCTGGGCCTCATGAACTTCATGGAGTAAGATACCCCACCAACTTGAGCCTTTACTAAGGACTGTTAATATGAGAGAAAAATGAACATCTTTAGACACTACAGCTTTAACAGTCTTTGTTACAGCCACTTAACCATTATCCTAAAAGATTATAATTTTTAGACTAAGTTAGGCACCTTATATATTTTTTTCATTTAACCTCTACCCAAAGATGTTGAGACAAGTATTATTCCAACTATTTTAGAAATGAGAAACTGAGAGACATAGAAATACAATTCCTTGCCTAAGGTAAAAAACAACAAAGCTGGGATTTGCTATTTGAATTTATTTCTAATTACTTCTTATGAACCCTTTGAACATGATTACAAAAATATTCAAAGAACCACCAAATGTAATTTTAGGACGGAATAAAAAATATTCTGGACTCTATCCATGATACTATGATACTATGCTACCTCACTAGGAAAGTGGCTGATATGCAAATCACATGCAAAAAAGCATGCAGATAGTTATTAGGAGACTTCTAGTTTGTCCTTCTTTTAAAAGTTGATTAAGACATGTTTTTTGGATCCAAAATGGTTTGTGTCATCCTTTGCTTCAAAGAAAGACAGCTATACCAAGTGGGAGTGAATTCTCACCCATGAAGCATGCAGGGGCTGGTCTTCCAAAATCAGCCACAATCACCCCATTCACCTTCACCCCTGTCTCTTACTTTTTAACATAGTAAGAACAAATACTACATGGATTATGATTCAAGAGGATGAGAGGCAGTCAGATGCCTTCTAATTAATAAAACTAGACTATATAACTGGAATAAAATATTTTGAGTGTTCTGTGCTTTTTATTTAAATACTCAGTGACTACAGCTCCTCTGTGTGCCGTGAATCATGCAGTGAATAAGTGATTTAAAGTAACTGCTAGATTATGCCCAGGAGGGCCTGCCAATATGGCTTGCTATCAATTGCCACTTTATATCAAAGCTAATGGAATGAAATGTAATATGAAATTCTGGTTTGGAGGAAAATAAAAGAGTGGTTGTCCATTGATTAAATTTACCTGAAAGTCTGACATATTCATCGACCAAATGGTGTATTTCTGAATGAGTCATGTGCTTTTAAGAGGCTGCCAGTAAAATGCTGCTTGCATTTTAACCCAAACACTGAAAATATTTGTTGACCAGGTTAACGCCTATGGTCCTAGGTACTGGGAACTTCAAAAATTCCAAACATGCCCACTCAGTACTTTGGACCTTGATGGATCCTATCTGTCCACTACTGAGGACCCCAACCCAGTGGGTTAGACCACAGACCAAAATGGTCCTTGAAAATAAATTAGCCCAAAAATCACATCCCACAGATAAGGAAAGTTTTCTGCTATACTGTCTGCATCATCCAATCACCACAAACTTTGTGACTTTAAACAACATAGTAATATTAGTTGTGTAGTTTCAGACATCTATAGTGGGTCCGCAAGGCTTGGTTTCTTCTGGAAAGCCCATGGGATAGCACTATCTTTCTCCCCTGACTTCCTGGAATAATCTCCCCATCTCAAGAACCTCAATTGTCACATCCACAGAGTACCTTTGGCCACATAAGATTACATATTTGCAGGTTCTGGGGATTAAAGCACAGACATCTTTGGAGGAATGTTATTCTGTCTACCATGCTATCAAAACAGTTAATGTTGTAAACAAGACCTGAAAGTAGTTGTCTTCAACCTCAACTGACATATATTCAGGCATTTTGTTAATTTCTGGCCAGTGCAACCATAAGAGCTCAGAGCATGTGCACAAGAATCAGTGGCTTATTCTGGGTCTAACTCTGCCAATCACAAGCTCTGTAGACTTGGATGGAACCGCTTATGAATTGACAATTTTACTGAAGCATTGAAACCTTGGAGGAAGTAGCAGGAAAATAGGCAGGGGAGACAAGATGGTAGAACTGAAAAGTTCAGCTGAAGAGTTTCACGCTATATGTGAAAGCAGAGGTTTTCTTTGCTTTGCATGCCCTGAAACTTTAAGACCTAAAATAAGGTTATCATGAAAAATGATTGATGAATTAATGAATGAGTGTTTCAATTTCACCAACAAATTCACCTTAGAATTGACCACAGCATAGAGTGAATGTTCAATAAATATTCGTCAAGTGAGTGAATAAAAGAATTAATGAATTCTGCTAGAAATGTGGTTTAATGTCTTTCATTATTTCCTTTTCAATAAAATTTACTAACTCGGATTCTCAGTGAGAGAATGCATGATTGGTCCACAAGACACATAACTCGGATTCTCAGTGAGAGAATGCATGATTGGTCCACAAGACACAGAAGATGATTAATCTTATAATGATTTCCACAGGGGATTTTGGCAAATATGGCCAGATTTTCTGATTTTTTTTAATCTAATGAGATTCCCCAAATCCAAATTTCCATATTAGACTGCCAATTTTTACATTTTTTTACCTTATTCTTTTTTTATTTTTTTATATTTATTTTTTAGGTGTAGATGGACACAACACAATGTATTTTTTATGTGGTGCTGAGGATCAAACCCGGTGCCAGTGCAAGGCAAGCACTTTACCACTGAGCCACAATCCCAGCCCAATTTTTACATTTTTTCTCAAATCATTTTAAACACCATTCAGGACAACTGAAATGTCTGCCAGCCAAATTCAGTTCACGTCCCCCATTTCGCTAGATCTTTTCTTCAGTCATTTTTAGTTTTCGAGGATGTAGAAGGCTGATACTGAAATAGCCTTGAACTACTATCTTATCAGAAATAAAAAAAGGAAGGGAGAGAAGTATGGGTTCAGGGCACCCACACAAATACACAAAAAGACAAAACCTAATAAGAGTACCCATGTTAGGCTCTTAAAAAAAAAATTAAAACATGAGAGAAAATGATGGTAACTTGGAGCAGGCAGGTCTGCAGTCAGACCCCAGCAACCATAAACATGGCCCCCTCTTTATGAGGCATGAGGTCTTATTGATAAATTAAAGAGTGTCCAGGGACCCTGGATTCCTGAACCCCATTTATATCTTTAACCTGCCATTGTAAGATAAGAAACAGTTTAGAACTTGTCATTTTCATAATTGATGGGCACTACTTGTTGATTGTTTATATGTTTTATTCAAATACATGTAGTTTACTTCCTGGAATTCATGACGACATAGTATTACCAACCCAAACTTCTAGATCCCTGGTGTCCTCTTAGATTTGCAGGTTCAGTATGCAGTGGCTGCTCTTTCAGATATAGGCTTAAGGAGATGGCACTTCAGATTAGGTAATTCCTATGATCTCATCCAAAAGTTCCAGGTTGTCAATTCTCAGGTGACTATGAGGTCTGTGAGTCAGTCAGGCCTTCTGGGCTTCAGCTTCCACATCTGTAGAATAAGGAAGGTGATTACAAAATGGCTTACAAGTCCTCCCTGACATGGTAGTCTCTGATACTATGACTCAGCCTCGCTGGGTGATGCTGCCTGCTTCTTCACGTGTCACAGACTCCAGTGATGCCCACCAGTGTCTACCAACAGTGGAAGCTGTAGGGGGTACAAAGATCTAAGCAAGGAGATCATAGAATCCACTTCTTCAGCATTCCCACTTGACCAATCAGATTTATCAAGAGCAGCTTCCATAGCAATCTTTTTGAAAAGCTCACCAATTATTTGTACCATGGTCTCATCTGTCTAATTGAAGAATAGAAAATTGTTCTGAACAATTCTGGGAAGATGCATAGGAGGATTATTTTTATCACAGGCAGACTCTGAAATATATTTCTTCATCCTTTGAATAAATGATTCTTGGAATGCAATATACTTTAAGGAATTGAATACATTTTTGTTTTCTTCCTGGAACTTTCTGTTTCTGGACAGTCTCTAAAGGCCAGTAATAAATATACACAGTCATATGGCTGAATGATTATCAGAATGCCCTTATGTATCTGTTACATTTGTTTCGGGAAAATTCATTAATAAATAAACATATCCATAAATATGCCAGATAAAACAAAGGTAATGAGGCTCACATTTAACAAGTCAATACTAAGACTTTTTAGGGGATTTTCCTGTAAGTTTCCTGAAAGGGCCATAAATCTTTTCCATTACCTACTTTTATCTATGAGTATTTTCTTCTGATTAAAAATTTACCCCCCCTACATTTAAAAATCTAGTCAATTACACAGAGATATGAAAAGATGATGAGAACATAGGAAATAGCAAGGAACCATGGTAGTGAATCTTCTGATTGCATAAATTCTCTTAATGACCCAGTGATTCAAGTCTACCACCCTGAGTTTAGGAGAACAGGTGAGTGGGTAGGATTAACAGCCAATATCAAAAGTGATTGTTACAAGTGCTAAAATGACCTCCCCCACTGGCATTGGTTTCTGTGCCTGCAATTCCCACGTGGACTCAAATGAATTAGTTAAATTTTGATCGGTCAAGGCACAAGATCACATTAGCTTTGTACATCAAGGTGTATGCAAACGTTCAAGTTAGGAAAGGAGATTCCACTAAGCATTCACTGTTGATGAAAATACCTCCTAAGCCTAAAAGTCATTATGGGAAGAAGAAGAGACTTGAAATCTTATAGACTTGATTGAATCCAAGCCCCACACTTGCAAACTAGCTATATATCTTGCACAATGCACTTAATATTCCTAAATCTCGGGTTTTATGCTCATTTGTCAAGTGGTTATAATAATGGCCAACCCACATGATGGTTGAAAGGCAGAATAAACCATCATATGTAAATAGCCGAGCACATAACTGAATGAGCAGGTGTTCAGTAAATACTGAGGTTTCCCTCTGAAGTCGTGTCCACTTACTAACCTTGGCTCTCTTTTATTTTAATTCAGATTTCCCAAGTAACTCAAGTTGTAAAAATAAATGCTTAACAAACAACTCAGAACATTTTTTTCCTCATTCATAAGTACATTACCCGGTGATTTATCAAAATGCATATTATTTGTTTTTTGAACTGGATGGTTAGAGTCCAGAAAAAGAAATCATTCTAAGCTGCAAAGCATTTCTATCTAGTATGCAGTCTGAAAATTTGCATTCACTTTTTCACCTTTGTTTTGGGAAAACCCTTTAATTGTATGAATCTGAAAAAAAGACCTCCATTATTATTTCTGGTATTTTAAGGTGACCATTGACCTGAATGCAATGTTTCATGCTGAGAATTGTTTGAAGAATTGGAACATTGCTAGACTTAATTGAGCCAAAGCTAGTTAAAAAATTATTTTTTTTTATTTTTAATCAACACACAATAATTGTATATATTTGTAGGGTACAATATATTTCCACACATCACTGTTCTAGGTATATCTGATTCTCTCTGATTAAATAAATAGGTACCACTATTTATCAACAATACTAACTCATTGTTATTTTCATAATAAATAAAAGTCAGATTTAAGAAAAAAGCCTTTGCTAACTAAAAAAAAAAAAAAAAATAGCCTTTTGGAGGGGAGGTGGTGATTTTCTGAGGGAAGAATATGGAATATTTTTTACCTCTGTGTGACTTGAGCTTTGGGTACACTGCTACTTGTGCTTTGGAAATTTTGTAAAATCTAGGTTGGAGAATTAGCAGAAGATAGGCAGGGCCTGTGTTTCTTATCAGAAAACTCTTCACACAAGTACAGAGACCATGGGAAGTATGGACTTGAGCTTGCCACAGACCTCCTTGGGCAGGAGTATCCACAGCCGTGAACAATGACCCAGAATGTACATGGAAATGGGGACCTCTGAGGGAGTGGGCACTCTTGTTAGATACTGAAAGCAGAGGAAAATTCTGAGGGAAGAACCAAAGATGAGGCAAAATGTCTCTTCTCTCCGTGTGCCTCATGGTAGCCTAGTATCCACTGTCCTATGGGTAATTTATGGAAGAGGATTTCTTCGAAGGCATGTGTGGAGGGGGTGAAGAAGCACTGCCCAGAGTGATGGCCAGTAGCGACAGGGTAGTGGCACAGACTCAGAGGGATGGCACTGCTGTAGGACAAAGGACTCACTGAAGAGCACACGTCAGGCAGCACGAGGGATCAGTCTCAGCTGGAGTGAAGATTCCGCCTGGGTAAGGGGAGGCTCAGGCCACTGGTGAGTAATAAAGGAAATCTAACAAACAACTCAGAACATTAGTTAAATTAGTTAAATTTAGTGAATTAGTTAAATTTTGATCGGTCAAGGCACAAGATCACATTAGCTTTGTACATCAAGGTGTATGCAAACGTTGTACCGTCTCAGACTATGTGGGCCTAAATATTTTGCTTACAAGCGAATCATTCCTCTGACCATGCTCATCTCAGTTGACCTAGTTAAACCAGTTTCCAAACTAACAATTCTAAAGAGCAGAACCTGAACAGAATGGAAACCCTCTGTCCCCAATCACCAAAGCCTGGCATCCCACATCAGCCCAGCCCATGGGCCAACCTGGAGCTTTTGTGCTTGCTTAAAACATTCTCCCCCTACATTCTGCCTTTGAACACAAAAGAAGAAGAAAGGGGAAAAAAATGTGTGGAGCCAGCCCTGCCATACAAATTATTTCTTCATAAATTCCATTCTGAATTATGCCTCAGTAGCAAGACTGACTCTGTGTTTTATTCACAGAGGAAGTCCATAAGGTCTCCCAACCTCGGCTCAGATGCAATTCTATGAGGCTGTTCCGCCTTGGCCTGATCACATTTCCAGACACCAGCCCAGCAAAATAAGCAGAGGATAAAATCACTTAGAGCCATGTCTAATGCACAGGATAAACATGAGTTACTGGAAAGAAGGGTAGGATCAGTAACAAGGAGGGGAAGCGAGGAAAAAGCACAAAAGACAGAAGACAGAAAAGGAATCCCACACCACTCAACAGGGGAAATCACTGCTTCTTATCGAGGCAGGTGCACTGGGTATGTCTGTGTATTAAATCATCACTAGGATTTAAAGAGCCTGTGTAAGAAAGCAATTCCATAGACTGATTCACATGCTATTTATAATTCCTTAACAATGTGTGATGTTCTGCAGTCAGAAAGATAGATCATGGGAATAGTTTGCTGGGGAAAAAAAAAAAAGAACTAAACATATTTATTTTTCTCCACTGAATGAAGTGGCACAACCACCATTTATATTATTTCCAGTGCCATAAAAATGTCCTCGCTGTTATGCATAACACTACATAAAACATGGTGCAAAGAGGATTCTTGCTTGCTTGGGCACAAGAGTAGAGGGACCAGCCTGAGGGAAGGAAATCGGGACTCCCAGAAACCATGTCCTAAGGTCTCATCCCAGCATTAAGGAGGGACGACCAGGGTGATGAGTATCAGAGCCTTCAGTTTTAACCCTTAGCAGGGATCCTTGAAACCCTCCATAAAACAGAGATGCTCAAATTGCCCTTAAATCTTGTTTCTAGAGAGCTGGGTCTAGAGACTTTCTAAGGTCCTGTGTGGCCTTGAACCCCTCCCCAACACTCAGAAAATGGAAGGCTGAACCACTGGCTGTCTCTGGATCCATTTGAAGCACCAGGCAGGGATTCCTTGCCTTAAGGTAGGTCCACTTGGAACAGGAATCTATGTAGTTTCACAGAAAAACACCTTCATTTTCTTCCCACTGCTTTGGAAGGTGCATTGGAGCTCTGCACCATTAGGCAATAGCTAAGTATGTGCTCCTTGCATCACTGTATCAAAATACCTGAGATAATCAATTTAAAGGGAAAATACTTATTGGGATTCACCCTTTCAGAGGTTTCAGTCCATGGTCACTCGGCGGTGTTGCTTTGGAGTTATTTTGGTAGAGTACATTGTGGCATGAGCATGTGGCAAAGAAGGCCTACTAACTGGGCATTTTGGCACATGCCTGTAATCCGAGCAACTGGGGAGGCTAAGGCAGGAGGATCTTGAGTTCAAAGCCAGCTTCAGCAACTTAGTAAGAACCTGAGCAACTTAGCAAGAACTTACCTCAAAATAAAACATAAAAATGGCTGGACTTGACTCAGTGGATAAGTGCCACTGGGATCAATCCCTGGTACCAAAAAAAAAGGTGGGGGGGGGGAGGCCTATTCATCTCAAGGGGTCAGGAAGCAAAGAAAGAGGAGAAGGGATCAGGGTTCATATATCCCCTACAAGAGCATGCCCCCAGTGATCTAACTTCCTGCAACAAAGCATCACTTCTTAAGGGTACCACCTCATTCCAATAATGCCGTAGACTAGTGACAAAACCCTTAACATATGAGCCTTTGGGGGACACTTATCCAAACCATACCACTAAGTTTTCTCATCACTTAAGGAGAGAGTTCATGATCCTTGCAGTGGTAAACAATCCCCAGCTTGAGGAAAAGTAAGGACTCCCACCAGCCAGAAATTGGCTTTGGGGAAAGTGTGCTCTGAATCACCAAGAAACCACTG